AAAAATCCCTCAAGAACTTCAACGAAATTCCACTGAGCTCTGTTCATGGGATGGCAACCATGCTGGAGAAGGTCAGAGTGTCTCAGGTTTTACGCCAAAGGAACATGAAAAAAAGCAAAAAGACAAATCCCTCAGGGAAGTGCCATGTAGGGAACAGCTGTTTGTGGGAACAAATGTGTTTGTGTTGGTGTTCGGACATCAGTGCAGAACAGGAAGAGCTAGGTGACTGGGTAAGGGATAGAGGAACATGGTTTTCACCAGGTATTCAGGGACTGGACATTTCCATCACGTGGCAAATTCTGCTAAATAAATCTCCTTCTTGCTGCTTGGTGCTAGTGGTGGGACTGTGTGTTGTTGCTCAGCACAACGGCATGTAAAAGGTATCGTGTCAAAGGTCTTGCTGTGGTCCCAGTGACAAATGGAAAGAAAAAATGGAAACCTTTGGATGAGGAGACAGAGAAATGAGGTATGGACAGGTCAAGGGCAACCAGGTGCTTTCACTGTCTGTTGTAAATGCACAGTAAACCTGTTGGATTAAACTCTAGAGCTTGAATTAAGCTGTCTTCATGGAGGTTGCAGTTAATGTGGTTTCCTTTGGTCTGAAAGTGACCATGCAGGTGGTGGTTAGCAGTTAATGTGGTTAACGTAGGTTCAGCTAAGCAAACTGGTAAAGTTTGGTGACTCAGCTGCTCTCAGTTTTCTCTTTGTACACTGATTAAGCCCATACTGCACTCTAAGAACTGCCATGCTTCCACAGTCTGTGAGATGGCCACGTGTCCTCTCGTTCTCTCATACTCCAGGGTAGCCAGCAGCAGTGTGGACACCTTCGGCACAGTCTTGCAGGATTCAGATCTGCTGGGTAGCTGGGCAAAGAGCATGGAGGAATTTGTCTTGGGAAATCTGGAGTGCTTCCCTGAGATGATCTAACAAATGTGATGAAGTCTTCTGGTTGCAGCTGAATGCATCTGAACATTGTGCCTGATTGCTTTAGAATCTCATAACTGCCACTGATGCAGAAGCTGCGACGTGAAGGCATGTTGCCTTTTCACATAGGCTTTGGAGATGGCAAAGTGGGATCTGTAACTTGCTGGTGGTTTACTTTGTAATATGCACCAAAGACAAATGGAAATTGGCAGCTGTCCCTGGAAAGATCCACAAGATTTATTTTAGAGTAGACTGATCCTAGAATCATAGAATCATAGAATCATCGAATGGTTTGGGTTGGAAGGGACCTTAGAGATCATCAAGTTCCAACCCCCCTGCCATGGGCAGGGACACCTCCCACTAGCCCAGGTTGCTCAAAGCCTCATCCAGCCCAGCCTTGAACACCTCCAGGGATGGGGCATCCACAGCTTCTCTGGACAACCCGGTGCCTCACCACCCGCACAGGAAAACATTGCTTCTTAATATTACAACCTTGACTATTGATAGCATTGATTAGCTCTCAAAGAGAATAATTAGAAAGAAAAAAAAAAAGGCAGCTATGTACAAGAAGATAACGGCTATTTCTATATGGACACTTTATTCTAAGGGCCAAATTCCTGCAGGTACCTGGGACAGAATGCACATGAGACACCCTTACTGCTTCTCCTCGTAAAGCTGTGAGGAAACAATACCTGGAAGATCTTGAAGACAAAATCCTGTGTGTAGCATGACTATTCACCTCAGAGCTCCTTGTGTACTTGCAAGTACAACATTTTTCATTATGCTTGTCCCCATGCAAAACGGCAAACAAATCAGTACTGGAGAAAAATACCTGCTTCAAATGTGTACACGGGAAAGGCAGGCAGAAGCATGAGCATTGAGGAGACAGGATGCTGCTAACGATGCAGCCATTAACTTCATAATGCAAGATGATGCCATTCATCTGCATTTGGAAGGAGATGTCTTTGCAGCATGGGCTAGCACAAAAAAAGGACTAAAGGCCAGTTAAAGATTAGTAGAATCTAGGGATTTTGAGAACATCTAGATCTGGCAGAGATCTTTTTCTCCTTTATTTAGGGTAGATGGGTGGGAGATTGCTATGTTTGCTTCCTTAGAGGAAGGATGGATACAGTCCCCTGGCTTATCTGATGTATTGCTACTGAGACAGTGACTGCAAATTTACAGTATGAACAGCAACAGGAGCTGTGTGAGGAACTGCCTTTGCTTTAGATGTAAAGAGAAATCTGATCTGAGACCTCACCAGTGTTGATGGCAACTTAATAGCTTGTCTGGCAACCCTCCTTTTCTTCCGGTACCAGACGCACACAAAGCACAACTCCTGGCCTCAGCATGGAGCAGAGCCTTAGGTGTTTAGACAATTACCACGTGCATTTCAACTTAAAAGGTCTGGCATGGAAATAGCACGGTTGTCTGAATAGATGCAGGGCGTGTACATGTTTTGGCAAGCAATGACAAATAGAACTGTATGATGTATCATCCCAGTGACAGAAATTGGGTTAGAGGGCTCGTGCCTGCCAGATGACCATTTTGTGTGATTTTGCAGGGTTTGTAGCATCAGGTGAACCAAACACAAAGATGACTTTTTCAAACTGTCGTTACTGAGATGTTCAAGTGCTGCGTATTCACATACCTAGCCTGCATCCCCTGAAATGTTGTTTGAAAATAAGCCCTTGGGTAACTTCCAGGAAGAGGGAGGCAAAAGGCATAGTAGGGGGGAGGCAGCAGGACTCTGAGATTTAGGTGCCAAATCTCCTCTATGTTTGTTAGCTACTCATGCCATACCTCCAGCAGTACTGAGTCAGGACTTGCTTTCACAGGCAGCCTGTGAGTTACAGACATAAAAATACAGTTTTGTGGCACTTGGTCCAGAACCTGCAAGTGCTGATGTGATTATAACCCAGAGCACCAGTGCTTCCAAGGCTCTTCTGGAAATGGGGTGTGTGTTCCTGGACAATTAATGCTGTTCTGGATTCTGTCTGACAGGTCCCAGTCCTGTCCATGCTCGGTAAGGATGTAGGTTTTGTTAGTGTCTTCTGGCAATGATTAGAGCTACACGCTTCTCACAGTGGTGATCACTTTCTGATCTGGCTACACTTTCAAGCCTTAGAGAAACTTATGTCGATTTTTGTAGTTTCTGAGTTTATGAGGACAAGGTGTGTAGTGGGAAGAAAAGGAAAAAGTGGTAACAGACTTTAATAAGCATCACAGTGCATAAGGCATGAAACATCCCTGAATGACCACCTGTGTAGTCCTGTTCTGGGGAGGCATTTGACTCCCTGTCCCCATTCAGGACTGAAGCAGCACTAATAATAAGCTGTTGCTGTTCACACTATCAAGTGTTAGAGCTCTGCTCAAACCAGATGTCCCAATGCTGAACCTGTAATTTGGAGAAACCAAGAACGATTACTTAATTTCCTAGCCCATGATAAACCCTGCCTGGGAAAGCCAGAAGCAATCCAAGTCTCTGTGTTCTGTTGTTGTCTGAGAAATGCCTGAGTGATAACTGTGATTCAGGAAATGGTCACCACACTTTTCAAACTGAGGCCCGTCAGAAGTTAATTAATCCCTGTGGGATTAATTTCTGTGTAAGAACTTCAGTGAGGCTGGTGCTGCTATATCTTCCAGGGCAGTTGGCATTGCATGGTTGGGCTCTTGAGTGTCATAGGCTGTTTCCCAAAGTGCTCTTGGAGCTCTCAGAAATAGTCCTGGGGTGATCCAGCTCCTCATCTCCATGATCATCCTGGCCTTTCTTTAGCAGAGTTGGCTGCCTAATAACCCACCATGCAATGCTCATGAAGCCACTGACCAGCAGAACTTCCACCCAAGTTTATGCCACCTGAATCCTGTTCTGCAGCACCATCCCTGGGCTAGCAGGAGAACGAGGTGGCTGCCAGGCACTGCAGGCAGCCGTTGTCAGCACAGAGGAGGATCATTTGCCGTGAGCAAAGTTTGTAAACACAGCTCTGTTTAGGAAAAAAAAAAAAACCAAAACACTTGCAGCCTGCCTTTCAGATGGAAAGAAGTCCTGGTTTTGTCCACTGACCAGTTGCAGTGCACAGAAGGAAGAGAAGGTGCCTTCAGTTTGTGAGACCTCTGCCACTGGACAGGCTGGCATGGCAATGTGCATTTTTCAGATGTGCTCTCTGCATAGGGTGCTTTTTTCCAGCAATCTTTCTTGGAGTCTTCAGGAGGAGACCCTAGGCTGTCAGGGGTCTGCAGACCACAGACTGAGGACTCCTGTTACAGAAGTGTCCAGAGCACAGAGGATCAGACAGCATGCTGATATTGTTAGCCTGTGCACGGTGCATGTGTTCACCTTTCCAGCTTGTTTTGTCTCCAGTGGGTTCTTCACTTGGGTTGACGCAGTTCCTTTACCTTTTATATATTACGTTAACAGCAAAAGCTGTAACAATTGAAACCTCTTTAAAATCACTTCTTCCTAGTGTGCAGATTTACACCTCTGGGGCTGCAGTAAAGGTCAGCTATGACTGCAGAATTGAAGGTTAGAAGGAGAAATCCAGCATCTCCCTCCTCTTGAGGGTACCACCTCTTCCCTTTTCCTGCCGTGCTGAGATGGTCGCTGTGGGGATCACTATCTCAGTGCGTGGATTTTCAGAGCAACCCTTCACAGCTAACATGCACTGGGCTGCAAAACCCATTAGCTTCAGCCCTGTAAAAAGTAGACTTAAAAGTGTAGTGGCTGTAATAAAATTATAGTGGTATCATAAAAATGTATTACTCTTTCATAAAGGATATGAAGTGTCTGAACATATATAACAAGGTTCTCCATCAATCCTCCACTTTCAGTTCTTGCCTGTGGGGCTGAGGCTCTCCTTTTAAGAAACACGTCTTCATTTAACTCATGGTATTCATCAAGATACACTTGCCTTTGGTCCGCTGAAGCAACAGGACCTGATTCTGTTGTGTCTACCAGGGAGTAGAGAATGGCTACAACTGGAAAATCCTGCTTGGTTAGTATTGCCTGTTCAGTGTGCACAGACACCCGTGGTGGTGTGACACACCAGCAGCACACAGTCAGGCTGTATAGAAATAGCATGAATTTTTCTCCTGCTCCTAAGTGGACTAACAAAGGAAAACCCTTTGCCTTTGTCATCCTCACACTGTTTCTGCAGCAAGGTAGAAGATGCTGTGTCACTCCCTCTCTGTTACTGGCTCTGTGAGGCAGCATATTTTTAGCTTTGCGGCAACATTAAGGTGACTTCATGTTGGTGCCCCTCCTGCTGCATCTGAGTTTCCAGCACACAAACTCATGGTAAATCATCAGGGAAGTGCTGTGTTTCATCTTTCTTAAATTCCTCACATTTTGTGAAAAACATGGAGTTGCTCTTAGGCAGAAATGGTGGCAGCATCTCACTAGGACAAGCCAGTTTTATCCCCTTTCGTTATGTGTTTTCTAGCCTATCCAACCAAGCTTAACAAGTTTCCCATCTTTAATTTTGATGACGACCTCAAGCATGTATGTATCACTGCTGTGAGCCCCAATACCACCAAGGCCACCCTCTGTGCTCTCAACTTGTGGAGATACTGGTGCATGAGCAGAGGACCCAGAGATTACATGGACGTCACGAAGATCAGCAAACTTAGGAACATACTGTTTTCTTTTTCAGTGGTGGGAGCCAGCCCCTCAGTCAAATTAAGTTATCATAAAGTTTGAAAAGAGATGGGATTTCAGCCTTCTTTATGTCCTTGTGGTCTTGGAGACCTTCCAAATTTATCTTCATAAAATTGTGACCTTTTCTAATTCACACCCTGTTGCACTCACAGTTGAGCCAGTAGCTTGGAAACCCAGGGTGATACTAAAGATTTCCATGTACATAACCCTTGTATACAGCCCTGGCCTCATGTGAGGAGATTTCCTGCTGTTACCCTCAGGACATACTGTTTGCACAATTTCTGCTCCCAGAGCCAGACAATGCAGTTCAGACCATTTCAGGACTTTTCTCCAAAAATGAACTCCCAGAAAAATCAGCGTACACACCAAAAATAAGGACTGTGGCTAAGGGCCAAAGTACAAAAAGCCCCACTCACATTTTTCTAACTTTCTCTGTTAGGTTGATCTAAGGCATTGGCAGGCTAAAGCAGCCTGACTGGCAGCCTCACGGCAATACTGACATCTCATGGCCAGAAGAAGTAGCAGTTGCTGCTTCTCCTTTTTCTCCTCTTCCTCATCCTCCTTCTCTTTCTCGTCCTCCTTCACCTGAAAAGTTTTCATATGTATCACGTTACTGCAAAAGTACAGAGTGTGACACCCAAGTGGTAGGTCACACATTTGCACACAGTCATACCTCAGTATGTCTGAAACCTTCATTCACTTCTAAAAAAGCCAGGAATTCGGATCCTTCCTTCTGAATCTGTATTTCTACACATGGTGCAGAAGTGGTGCCAGCCAGTGAAATGGGATCTGGTCTGCCTGAGCTTCCTTACACCATCGCATCTCTTTGGCTTAAACACATAGCCTCTTCCCAAGGCTCTAAGGCTGCCCAGAAACAAACTGGTGGGGAAGCATGGAAACTGCTGCAGGTTTCTTCAGACAGAGCGCAGAGAAGCCCTAGATGTGTCTTCCCCACCTCTGATGTACCTTGACACATCTTTCCCCTTCCTCTTGTTCCAGATCCCAACAGTGAAGCTCAATGAACTCCTGGAGGGCTTTTACATCACTGCAGAGAAAACAGATGGGTCTGACTTTCTAGCCACGTGCCTCCATGCTATCCAACGAGGCCTGGACCAGATCCTCAAGGATGCTGGTGCTGGTTTCTCCATCACAAGCGGCACCTTCAGGTCTTCCACCAGAAAGCTCAAGGAGAAGCTTCAGGTCCTGAGCGAGGCTGGGATGTCTGGTGCCTGCTCTCGCAATGGTGTCTCCTTCTCCCTTTCTGATGAGGAAGAGATGTGGAAGATGGGATGCCTGGGAGATGACAGTCCCATAGCCCTGCTGCCGCCAGTGGTGAAATGCAACTGAACACGTGAACCTTACAGGAGAATGTGGACTTAATGTTTGGTGACACTGAATTGCTCAAAGACTCCCAGAACAGCCTGTATTTTTGTGGCAGAACAGACAGTGTGAAGCAACAAAAACAGGGTGAACATGAACAGGGAAGAGAAGGCTCCGGGGAGACCTTGCAGCAGCCTTCAAGTGCTGAAAGGGGGGCTACAAGAGAGATGGGGAGGCACTCTTGACCAAGGGGTGGATGGATAGGATGAGGGGTAACAGCTTTAAGCTGAAAGAGGGTAGATTTAGATGAGATATTAAGAAGAAATGTTTTCCTGTGAGGGTGGTGAGGCACTGGCACAGGTTGCCCAGGGAAGCTGTGGATGCCCCATCCCTGGAGGTGTTCAAGGCCAGGCTGGATGAGGCTTTGAGCAACCTGGTCTGGTGGGAGGTATCCCTGCCCATGGCAGGGGGGTTGGAACTGGCTGATCTTGAAGGTCCCTTCCAACCCAAACCATTCTGTGATTCTATGATTCTAGGGCCAGATACCACGAGCACTCAAAAGGGCACAAGCTCTGCCCATACTGCCTCTTCTACAAGTACATGTACGTACACCAGCCCCGATGCAGATGGTGGCCAAGTCTACCTTCTAATGGTCCAGGTTGTCAGCTGCATGGGGAATGTCTGGTATGAGGAGCAGAGGATGGAGCTCCACTCCCTCAGAGGTGTCGTTGCCAAGCAGGCAAAGAAAGTGAAGCTGGAGCACTGTGAAAATTTTACGTTTTTCTCCTTCACTCAGGCTTCCAGGAAGTTTGTCTCTCTTCCAGTAACTCCGCCTGTGGTCTGCTCTCACCAGCCAGGCTTTGCCCAGTAGCTTTTGTGACATGTGAAGAGGGTGAGCTGCTTTCAAACAAGAGCAAAAAATGGAAAGACAGGACAGTAAATCCTTCCTGAGGAGGGCTCACAAGGTGCGGTCCCATTTTGGGGATAAATACAGCGTTGTTCTGAAAAGTGGTGGAGCAGTGGTCTCCTTCACCACTGCCAGGTCTTCCGAGCAAAGAGTTGGTAGAGAGATCTTTCCTCATTGGAGGCAGCAATGTGTGTATCATGGATTTTCTTCCTCAGCAAGCAGAGATAGGAGAAGGGAGACTGAGCTTTTGGGGACCAAGAAGTCTTGAAGAAGTGCCTATGCTTTCTTTCAGAGCTACTGTACAAAAGTTACTCTCTTGTGATGCATATTTTTTGATGGTTCACTGTTTTCTCCACTTGTTTCCTGTATTGTAAATGCAGATATTTTTCAATACCTGATCATTGACACTGGATCTGTAGGTACTGCCAGAAACTACTATTGGCTTTACCAAATAACAAATGAACAGATGAAATCAATCACAGCATCTTCAAAGGACAGCATTTTTAGTCAGTCACTTACAGGTGGTTAGGATTTAACTCAAAAATCAGCTTTTTGGGGTTGTCCAAGTTTTGAGACATCTTAAAGGATGTCACAGAGGAAATACAGTGCATCATGATCTCAAAAGTCAGCTGCTCAGCATCTCTTGAAAATGAAAGGACTCTACAGTGTCTCAAGTCTGGCATCCAAATGATGTAATTTTCAGAAATCAGCGGTCAGTTGTAAAAATAGTTGCCTTAAACTTCCACAGCTACGGCTTGGTCCACTTTCTGTTGAGAGGAAAACTTCATTTCAGCTGGAGCTGTGGCAAGCCTTTAAGTCACACAAAAGAACACCCGGAAGCCCCGAAACAGAGCTGGGGACATGTAACTTGATGATGTGCAGTCTGCCTCTAATCTAATGGAAATATTTGGCTGTTTTTTTTCCATGGGTTGCAGGACTGTGAGAGGATTGATGAGGTTTACCAAGCCCACTGTACAGTCACTGATTTTCTAGTACTGTATAACACCATAAAATTACAGCTTCAGTCCGATAGGCACATGATTGCAAAGATAAAATAATGACATTAATAACAGGTTTTTTTAAAGATAGCTTCTCCCTCCCCCAAATTGCCTGAATTCTCTTTTCTTTTTAAATATTAGTTTGATTTGTAGGATCTCTATGTTGTGAAATATATTATTGCTCCTGTCTTTTAAATGCATTTGCACAACATTATTTTAATTTTAAGAAATTAACTAGCTGGATATTGAAACACTGAGTAGCACCAACTTCAGCAGGGGAAACATCTGCTAGGATGAAATACTAGGGCCTGAGCACTGAGGCCCTGAAACAAAGTTGACCTCTAGATGAACCTCACAACCTAACAATATACCTAATATGTATAATATTGGTCACATATGCAATGTATTACCTTATGAATATATGCCAGTTTAAAAAAATTTTGTTTTAACGCTTACAGAGCTTTGCTGTAATGCTTGCTGTGTAAGGTTAGCCAGCAGAAAGATACTAATTGTGTAACAGTAGCCAAAATTAAGCACGGATGTGACCTATCATGACAGATGGCAAAGGAATGTGGCAAGTCGGGACAAGCTTTGTCGAGAGATACATAACCAAGATTAGTAGATTCTTTTGTTCATGTTATCTCCCTTCTCTTGTCCCTGTCCAGGCTCAAGACAGAAGTTAACAAGGAGAAAACTACACCAGATGTTTTTTCACAGTTTAAGATATAAAGTTGTTTATTTAACTCTATAAAAGCAGGGACCATTGGCAGGGAAATTTGGAAGCCTCATCTATACAGTGGATACAATGTATAGAGATTTCCCAATTGCCAGGAGGGACTCTCCAAATCCCTCCTGTAAACAGGCTCCCCAGCGACTGTGGGTCTGGATGATGGTAACATATTAATAGGGCAATTGGTGATGTATCTATCGCGATCACTAACTCTATGTAGCAATGATAAGGTGCTTTACCTTACTTTCTGCTTGCTATAGTAGTTTGGTTATTATTTTGCTGCTTTACCTTATCTTGGTTTAATTTATTTTCACTGTATTATTTTTCTTATTATTTTATGACTTTAAACATAAATAAAAATAAGCTAAATTCTTTAATTTGGTGCCTGTGTCCTTTGTGCTAACCCCATCAATTGGCAAAACATAGGAAAAGCTGCATCCTACAGCCCTCTGAGGCTGTGTACATTATTTCCCACTCTCAGGGTGTTTTTTTAAGTGTCTGATCCTGGGAAGCCTTGGAGCCTTTGCTGGAGGCGGCAGGGGATGTTCAGGATTTCCAGACAACTTAATGTGATGGAAGCAGGAGCCTCTGCTTGCACAGGGTATTAGGTGTGCATTGTGGGCATTGCTCTCAGAGTAAAAATGCTATTTGTCATAATGTTGTTTCATGGGCTATAGTAAAGGGCATTCCTAGTTAAAAAATACAATTCCAGTCCTGCAAAACAATATCACCCATGAGGACTGAGGAAAAGCAGAAGCTGGGCTGGGACAGTGTTTATTTGTCTTTGAAAGGAGCAGAAGAAGCTGTTCTAACACAAACCATTTTGAAACCAGAGTGCACCCAGAAAATCAGACTCTTTGTTTGGTAACTAATTGAGGAACCTGTTCTTCAGAGGTGCTGACCTGCTGGAGCTCCTCCTGCAGTCACTGCCACCCAGCAGTTCCTAGGCTGGGACCCTCTGGTGACTGCTGGCAGTCAAAGCAGTCATGCTGAGGTTTCCTTAGGCATGAATAGGAGCTACGAAAGCCCCGTGGCTTTTCCTCTAATCTCTAGAAGCTTTTTGCCCTTAATTTCTTTGTTCGGTTGATGTGGCTGTATTTCATAGGTCAGGAATGCTCTGTGGCAGCATATGTTGGATAGTTTCTTAGACAAGAAACCTCAGCTGCCTTCTCTGCCCACACAGCCAGGGGAAACTTGGCCTTGCAGTAGCGGTGGGCACTTGCCTGGGTTCAGACCTCTGCAAAAATAACAACTTGTTCCATATCTTAGTGGAGGGAACCTACAGAGAACTAGGACTGGCTGTAACTAAAGAGCACTCTTCTGCCCATGCATATGTTGTTTGCAAGAGTCAATAAATATACATGGCAAGCATTTAGCTTATGTCCAGTATCCTAAGCAGGAGGATAGTTCCTCTTCCTTGTTTTGCCAAGGACTGAATATTCTATATATGACAACTGAGTAAATCTCCAGATTTGGCAGGTACCATGCAACTCAGCCTGACTTTGAGTTATCCTGCAGTTATCCTCCAGTCTGTTGTTCTCCTGCAGTGGTATCTGCTATCACAGAGGAAATACAGTGCATCAGAGTACTAAGGATTTTTTTAATAGTGACATAAAGTGAGTGAAAAAGAGAAAAAAAAGAAGTTATTGAGTGCTTTTGTGAAGAAGAGTTGGTCTTGATTTTGTCTCACAGTATGTCTTATTCCTTTGTCTGATGTTCTTGTGTTTGACAATTTGATATCTTTTTTCTCACTTACAAGTAGTGTTTGTTCTGAAATAAAGGCAATATCACCTTTGTAAACTGTGGAACTTCATTATGGACTGAACTGTTACAGAAATTACTTGGATACGGGGAATAACATGTGGTGTTTAACTGTCAATTTTTGTCACAAAGAATATTTGCCTATTAGACAAACTTCAGTACTGGTGGTCCTTTTTTTCTGGTAGCTCCTCAAATCTGTGATCCCAAAACCTATGTTTTATCTAACAATATTTAACTCTTTTGACTTCTTTGGCTCAGCATATAATTATCTATATTTCAGCAGTGGTTAATATCCTCTAATGAGACCAGCATGACATTAGTATGTTAGTTCTATCTGAAGGAGAAATTTTCCCTCTTGAAGCAACTCCTACCAAAAAGGAAAAGGACAAAGCCAAGAGAGGTGTGATATAACTCGCCAAAGGTCAGCAGTGGGTTATGGTCATTCTCTCAGCTACATCCACTTGTGGCACCCCTCACTTGCAAGGCCATTACTTATAAATGCAACTCCTCTGGGAGCCCTGCAAGAGCCAGTACTCAAGAATCACCGACCTAAAAAGAAAATCAGGATACGTCAAAAGTGGCACTTACCCCTTTTGACTGTAGGCAAATAATCAAATGCTGCAAAGGACAAAGAAACACACCTTTGCATCTCTTGTGCCAAAGCAGGTATTGTCTGTTCTGTGCCCAAAGACTGAGGTACATTCCAGGTGGATGGGGCTCATAGCAGCCTTGTGCTTCTGCGGCGCACTGGGGAGCTGGGCTATGAGCTTTATGTTCTCAGCCACGTCTCGCATGCTGGACTGTCCTCAGCTGTTGTTGAGAAGCTGGCTGTTGCTGACTTCCAGTAAGGCATACAGTATTCAGTGGGTGAATTCAAGACCTTCCTTTAACATAACTCTCGTATTGCAAAATCAGAGCACTTAGCAAATCCTGATTTTATTAGTTTTTGTGGGCCATGGAGATGACACCGGCACAGCATTATTGCTTATTCTGGGTTCTAAGGTAGACAAGGATTATGGTTCATTCAGAATTTGCTGTTAATTGCAGGATTTTATTTTGCATTCCCTCCCCACTCACCCGAGACTAAACACATCTATGATGTGAGGCACACGCTCACCCTGGCAGGCTATAGAATTATGCTCAAGATTGTAAAAATACTGCCTAGCTGAGTGACTAGCACAATAAGACTTCAGGCGTTATGATTTGGAGGCCTTTGAGGCTTTTCTGCAGTGTGTCAGGTTGGGCACCCATAATTGCTAGTTATTTTGGAAGACTTTGGAACAGCTGGGTGACCACCACTGGCATGGGTGAAAGGGGACACACATACATCTCTCCTCATCACGGTGAGGCTGTGCACTTGGGCACGTTACAGCAGACAGACCTGATTTTTAGTTTTAACATTCACTGTCATCAGGATGGATGATTAATGCAATGTCCTCCTACAATCTTGTGTGCTGGGGAGGGAGGCAGACGCTCCTGTTACACAAAACACAGAGCTGAGTAGAGTCCAGAGCATGTGCGTGCAACTTCACTTTGAAATGTGTCCTCCTGACAGTTGAACTTACAAGGGCATGGAGCCAGCAGCTCATCTAGCACGATGTATTCAGTCCACTTGGTTTAAGCTGAAATTAAATGATGTTTCAATTTTGCTCCAAGAAAATTTTTTCTCAAGCCAATGTAAGAAATACATTTAATTCAATTAAGTAAAGCATTCCATTCTTTGGCAAACTTTCAGTTCCTCAGAATATTGATTGCAGACTTTATCTACTCAATAGTATTTAGTAAGTCACTAAAGCTTTCCTGAAAAAACAAAACAAATCTCAAAATGACACATACTGCAGACCTGAGCCAGGCCATGCAGAACTGCACCTGCACATAGGCAGAGCCCAAAGAACCCTGCATTTGTAACCCACTGACATATTTCCTATGGACTCAAAGACAAATGAGAAGGGAAAATACTAACAGTTTAAGATGTATTATCTACTTAAAAAAAAAATTCTCATGCACCATGCTTTTTTTCCACTCCATTTGTTGCCTCTTTGTCAATTTGATGACGTGGGCAGGGAGCAACTTAAAGGAGTTGAATGCTTTGGGTTGCAAGGTTGTAGTCCATTTTGCTGGATTGGAAGTCTCTAACTGCCATGGTGGCCCACGGGTAATAGCAATTTTCACTGTAAACAGGCTATTCACTACACAGAGAGTGAGAAGGAATCACTCCTATTGAAAAGAGACACTGCAACATCCACAGGGCATGTCTGGCTCATCCCATGACTGAGATGGAGCACCCTTACATGAGGTAAAGGCAAAACACGAACTATCCGGGACTGCATCCCCAGGGCAACATTAGGGGAGCAAAGGGAGACAGAGAGCTGCAAGTCTTACATTCACATCTCCATGAAGAAGTCTAACGTGTAGGAAAATGTTACCTGCAAAAAATGTTGCTTGGAAGGACACTCAGGCCAGGAAACAGGGAAATACTTCCCAGCCTCAACCAGCAGCCCCAAGTGCAGATGTAGGATGGTCTGCAGAGCCACAATCAATATGATATGGTAATTATTGAATATTTTTCTGCTCTGAAGGAAAACCTTGCCTTGAACTCTGCACCTCCCTGAATGACTTGTTCCCTGATAGAAACAAGGGCTCTCGTTATTGGTGCTAATGCTAGAGAGAGAAAAGCAACTGGGCAACCGTGGAAGAAGAGGGAGGTGAGCAGACAATTAATCAAGAAGTGCAGAGAGAAAACAGAAGGCATTAAGGAAGAGATGTGGATGCAAGGCAGCAAAGCAGAGAATAACACACTACTCTCACTGGTCCTGAGCCATTTATTCCTTAGGGTCCTGCCAAGACACTTCATTCAGGACCTACCTGGAGGGGCATGATCTGACTTCTCTAGATATGTCCAGTGGATAAGGTTGCTTTTGCTGAGCTCACTGATGAGGTTTGTGGAAAAATAGTGAGAGGAGATGTGATCAAGTTGTGTCATGCTGGAGTGAGAGAAGTGAAGTTGAGCCACAGTGGTTATTCTCAAAACAAAGCTTCTCATACCTCGTTAAAATACAATCCCAGAGGAAACCATCTTAGCCACGGATCTCTCAGGAGCTTGGAGGAATCTATCTCAGATCTGCCAGTCAACATCATTGGTGTGCTGGTAGTTGGAGAACAAGCTTTTGTGTGTGATCTCACCTGAAGAAGTCCCTTGACTATTCTGGAGTATTTTCTGTGCTTTTGGGTTCTTTCTGCCTTCTGCTGCTGCTGGTGTGGAAGGAGAGTCTAGCTGGAAAGTCCTACACAATGTGGCTTTTTAATCTAGGGCTTTTGAATAAAGCTATTGCTTTTTAAAACTCGCTCACAGTTTGTCAGTGTGTTGGGACCAGCTCAGGGCAATGCCCCGCCAGTTGGGTATGACTCCACCAAGTGGATTTCTGCTCTGCTTGAAAGGTTAACCATTAACCCTGCCCTATGAGGGTCTCTCACTTTGCTAGCAAAAGCTCACCCAAGACCTCCACAATCTTGCCGAGATCCTCCTGGCTCCGTGTAAGGACTGCACCTGATTTCCAGCAGTCTGGATGTGCTGCTGCAAAGTAGCCTCATTCCCAAGGCTGAGATAGTCATGGAGTTGGCTCAAAGCCTGCTGAGCCCCCTCTTTGATAACAGCATGGTCTGTCGGTCTGCTCCAGTGCCTTCTACTTTTTAGGGTTACCACCTGCATCGCTGGGGTGCAACTGCACCCACGAACAGGGAGAGCAGCTGTGGGCTGGGGGGGAGATTTCTGGGGGATGAGGGTGGAGAAGGATGCTAGCAGAGAGTGGTGGGAACAGCATGACATTTTAATGGCTCCCCTGGCATTATATGCTGGCTGTTTTAAAGGTGTGCAAACTGAGGGGCCATCTCATGACTGCTTTTCAGAGCAGTGGCACTGGGGGGGGGTGGGGACACTTGCCTGTGCTTTATGTTGTTAAAGGAGAACACCTCTGTTTTAAACACTTGCAGATATTATAAAACAAACCTGTGATGCCTGAGATAGCAGGTCTGAGGGGCAGGATCGCTATTCATGTGAGCAAAGGGCTCACTGTGAAGTTGAGTGATGCCACTTTCATTATTCTGCTTTTTATTCAAATACGGTGGGTCAGTGTCTCCACAGGGACAATCAGCTGTGGTGTCCACCGTCATTTTGACACAATACCCAAACTGAGTCAAGCTGGGGTCGGAGCTTGGAGGAACACACCACTCCTTTTCCCTTTCCTATGTGGTCACTTTTTTTTCATGAAGGATACACCTAAACTTACAAGCAGGCATTCAGGTAGCACACAGCCGTTGGCCAGCTCTAAGTCACATGTGAGCAAAGCTTAATAGCAAATAAGGGACAAATAGGACATGACAAACTTATGTGCTGAGGCTGCCATCAGCTTCAGAAGCAAGCTCTTGCTTGTCAGAAGCAATCCCAGTTTGTCAGAAACAAGGATTTACTAGAAAGAAGCGGTCCAAGATGCAATTCAAGTCTACACTCTGCAGACCTAAATCCTACTGATAGTGGCACTGAAAGCTGTGCAAGGAGCTATCCTGCACTTCTGTTGAGTGCACAGTGTCCCTGAGACAGACTTTTTGCTGCCTAACTTCCTCTACCAGCCCCTCCAACAAGCAGCCCTGCTCCCACAAGGAAGAAGCACATTCCCTTGCCCTGAGGCTACCATGGGCTCAGGCTCCTTTGCACTCTTCTCCCCTTTGAGCAAAGCAATCCAGTCCTTAACTTCCCACCTCTGCCACAGAGGGACATTGCTGCCTAGTTTTCCCTGCTAGGAGTCTCTCTGGGTGATGAGTGTTTGATCTGCATCCCATCACAGCTTTATGACTGGTATCTTCCTTATTGCGGCAGTGTCGTTTTTATGGCCTGATGGGACCCTGGAGCATCTTAATTTACTTTTGCCATACCTATTCCTTCATATCTGTGCAAGTCGTGCTGACAGTGCATTTCTCCTCAACAGTGCTGGCATTCTTATTTTCAGACAAAACATAACTGGCTGCCAAGTCACAGTTGGCTGCCGAGTCAAACACTACCCCATGATCTATCAACATGAAGTTAGCGAGGCACTTGATTGTCTTCTGTTGTTATCTACTGTTTGCCACCAGCCTGTTATACAGGTTAATGGGATCTAACGATGACATCTGTAAAGACAGTTGCCACTACAGACTGCTGCAGTACTCAATGGGGTCCAACCTGAGAGAAGAATGTGTTCACTGTATCACACCACATGAAAACCTGCCTGGCTACTAGGTGCCATTTAGTTAGTTGTTATGTCTAAAGATAGAGCAGTTGTGAGGAAAGTCACACAGGATAGCACTTTTTTTTTTTTTTTTTTTTTTACACACACTTCTGGAGGAGATTAATTTTTCCCATACCAATAGCATTGGCTTTTGCACTTGATACAGTTTGTACTTTTGATGTTAACTCACTTTAATAAAATCCCAAAATGTCCCTTCCCTACCTTAGACCTGTATAAAAATCCTATTATAGCAAAATTATAGTTTTAACACTGCCTTCTTAGGCTCTTTGTAATACTTCTAACACATGAAGAATCACCACCTTGGAGTCTTTAACCTAAATCACAGTGAGAAGTAAGACCTCCTCCTTGTTGCGCTGGTCCTAGGGGACTGTTCCAATAGCTGGAGGCAATTTCTGGGAAGTCTGACACTTGACATAGCATCTTCACCTGCAGCCTGTGCCAGCTCTCATGGGGGCTTTAGCTGCTGGGCATTTTTCTGAGCCTTTCTGAGCACTGGAACAACATGATATTTCATGATTGCTCATTGACCGAGATATTCACAGGAGATCTGAATCCAAGAGCTGTATGTAAGAAGCCTTGCTGACTACTAAGGACGAAACGGAAACCACAGACCTAAGGCTGCAGTAGGTAATAACCCAGTGAACAAATGCAAACACACTCCTCCTTTCCATCCCCTCTTTTCATGTCCAAATCCAGACACTGAACACAAAAGAATTAAAGACAATTCTCACCCGTTATGTGAAATATGAACATTAAGAGATGCGGGAAAGCTAACATTTGCTGGTAAGCAATGCATTATACATCAGACTAGTAAGAACCACAGCAGTGATTCAGTTTTTTGCTTTGTTCCTTGTGAAAATTGTCCCAGTTTTGAAATGCTGTCAGATTTGTGGGGGGACTGCAAGGTGCATTTTGTAACTCCCTGTAAATATTATTTACAGGGATATTTCTGAAATCAATTTGGCTGCCAGAAAGAAG